CTTTTCAAAAAAACATTTCCCACATTCTGAGCACTGATGGGGTCTTTTTCCAGTGTGAAGTTTCTGATGTTGAAGTAGACTTTTCTTGTAGCCAAAACATCTTCCACATTCTGGGCACTGATGGGGTCTTTCTCCAGTGTGAATTCTCTGATGTTCAATTGCTTGTGACTTTTGACCAAAACACTTCCCACATTCTGGACACTTTTCATTTTTCTGCACACACTTGAACGGTTGCCCTCCTTTGTGAAGCCTCTCATGTCTTCTAAGATAATATTGGCAATGAAAAGTTTTCTCACACTCTGGACATTTATATTGCTTCTCTAAGTGTGTTCTCTGATGCCTCACAAGTGTACCTTTCCGGGTAAAAGTTTTCTCACACTCTGGACATTTATATTGCTTCTCTAAGTGTGTTCTCTGATGCATCACAAGTTTATCTTTCCGGGTAAAAGTTTTCTCACACTCTGGACATTTATATTGCTTTTCTAAGTGTGTTCTCTGATGCCTCACAAGTGTACCTTTCCAGGTAAAAGATTTCTGACACACTGAGCATTTGTGGGGTTTCACACCTGTATGGGCTTGGCAGTGACTTGTAAGGGTTGATTGACAACGAAATGCTTTCCCACAGTCTAAACATTTGAACTTTTTTTCGCCTCTGTGAACATTCTCATGATTTCTGAGCATTTGTGTTGTACGGAAAAATCTTCCGCACTCGATGCACATATAGGGCTTTACACCTGTATGGATACTTTTATGTTGAAAAAGAGCTGCGTTAAAAGAAAAACATTTATCACAATCCTTACATTTATACGGCCTCTCTCCTGTGTGCGTCCTCTGATGCTGCCGAAGATCAGCAGACACCAGAAATGTTTTCTCACATTCTGGGCACTGATAGGGTCTTTCTCCAGTGTGACGTTTCTGATGTTGAAGTAGACTTTTCTTGTAGCCAAAACATCTTCCACATTCTGGGCACTGATGGGGTCTTTCTCCAGTGTGAATTCTCTGATGTTCAATAACTTGTGACTTTTGACGAAAACACTTCCCACATTCTGGACACTTTATATTTTTCTGCACACACTTGAACGGTTGCTCTCCTTCGTGAAGCGTCTCATGTTTTCTAAGATAATATTTGGAACGAAAAGTTTTCTCACACTCTGGACATTTATATGGCGTCTCTAAGTGTGTTCTTTGATGCATCACAAGTGAACTTTTCCAGGTAAAAGATTTCTCACACCCTGAGCATTTGTGGTGTTTCTCACCCGTATGGTTTTGGTAGTGATTTCTAAGGGATGATGAATAAGCATATGTTCTCCCACAGTCTAAACATTTGAACTTTTTTTCGCCTCTGTGAACATTCTCATGATTTCTGAGCATTTGTATTGTACGGAAAAATCTTCCACACTCGATGCACATATAGGGCTT